TATTTATTTATTTATTTATTTATTTATTGTGTTTCATTTCTTTGCATTCCATCGCTTTGCTAAATAATGTTGATGTCCTCACCTGCCGAAGTCTTACAAGTTTCAAACTCGCATAGGAAAAATTTTTTTGGAAAATTGAAATTTTGGGGGGAAGCAGGTATTTTATCACAACCAAATCTAGTAAGTAAGACTGCTGATTCTCAATAGAACAACAAGAGATGTACAAAACAGGAGACATGCTCAAGTGCAACAACCCTACATACAAACCATGTACCTGTGTCAAGCTGTTGCTCCTTATGGTATTAGTACAGTTACTTGCAAGAATTTTTCTATGAAGCAGTTGAAAAACCCTTAAAACTTAACAAGACTGATGCTATTTCAAATAAAATTTTACAGAAATCTTTATCAAATTTGAAATTATACACAGTCAATATAATGATTCCTCTTTTTCCGTATGCAGCTTTGAGAAGTTGATTTGGAGAAACTTCAGACATCCTTATGCTCAACAAACATTAGCAGCATAATTTAGAGTCAATTAATGCTTTTCAGGGAGACTTTTAAGTTTCCAATTTTACCATTAGTGGAAAATGCAAAAAAAAAAACGCTGAAAGAAAGAACAGGATATCGCTAAATGTTATGCACAAACTTTAGTTATTCTGTAACGCAATCATATCGAAAAAATGGACCCGTTATCAATGAAAGAACAGAGAAGAATGCCTAATATGCTGATAGAATGCACAAATAGATAGAAAGTCCTAATTATTTCCTTTCTCATGATTTTAATCAGTGCTATCTGCACCATGGGCTGGATGTCCTCCAAATCCCTACTATCCAGAATACCTTAAACGATAATATGATAACTTTGCGTAGTAGAATACTTTCCATGAATCATTAGAAATTTAGAAGTACTGTGCATGAAATTTGATGTTATCATTTTAAGAACACATTTTTAGCCGTTGCGGACTTCTCAGTGATATCCGTTTTATACCGTTTATGTGAGGAATATCTTCTCAGAGACATTCGAGAGTACACTTAGTGAGGTGATTCTTAGTAACATTTTAATCAAATTCGTATATTATTGTATGGTCTTATCACTCTAATTCTCTATATTGAATAAGTGCTCACTGATCGGTCAGCATAGTGGATCTACATTGCACATTATGATGATACATATGGCTTGTGAATAAGAAGGCAATGTTTGATAAAAATTTGATGAATTCTCCCTTCCTATGAGTTTCAAAAACTGTCAGAAATTGATTGAGCATTATTACAGCCGAAGATAGGCATGAGAGAAGAGGGAGCAGGGGTTATACTCAGTATGATCGAAGTCTGATTTAGCGTATGAAAAAAAGCAAATTTGGCGTCAACAGTTCTGATTCAAATCGATCAGCTACGCGAATATGCCCATAGGTGCATGAAATCAGCTAGACGTCGTCATTATGATGAACCGGTAAAGAGAAAAGGTTATGTGCATCTATTCTACTATAAATTGAGTCTGTTTTCTGTGACCTATTGGGGGTTTTTTAGCTTATAAGACTTTGCGAAAATCTAAACTTGTTTATGTATAAAATCCTATCAATTTGACTAACCAGGCTCTTCCAGAACTTCTGAAAGGAAAGCCGAAACTTCATCGCCACAGTCGAGACCATCGGTTTGTTCCTCACGGAATAACCTAAATCGCTTACATCAGAGCAGCAGAGCTCACAAATAGCAAATGCAATAAACTTCGCGGTTCTGATGTCTCTTCGTTCTAAAACCTCATCGATATTAACACTGACAGATTTTTGCCCATATTTCAAAGTTAGGACATGGTCTTTTACGTCGGTTTCGATCAAGACCATATATGGTTTCTGTCTACCGGTGTAGAACCTGAGCAAATTGCAATGATGTTGAAGACAATAAAGCATAAGAAATTTCACGCACTTCCCATCTTTGCCATTGATGACAATGAAATTCCTGTCTATAATCTCTCCAGAAATTGGGCCATTCTCGGTACAATAAAAGGAGA